AGAATTTGATGTGGTCACTTTGAGGTGGGCTTCAGAGCTGGCCAGCCCTTTGTTATAACACCTCTTCCTGTTCTGTACAACCAGCAGTGATCTAGACAGAGGCTGATCTCTCGGGTTGCGTTCCGGTAGGTATAGGTGTGTGTGTGCTCACTCATGTCCAACTGTTTGCTCCTCCAGGAGCTGTGTCCCTCCAGGCTCCTCTGTCCATGCAGTATTGCAGGCCAGAATACTGGAGTGGGTTGCCATTTCCTACTCCAGGGGATCTTCCTGACCCAGGGCTTAAACCCATGTCTGTTAAGTCTCCTTCATTGGCCGGCGGATTCTTTACCATGTCCTGGAGTAGAAACAGCAGAGCCACAGTGGCTGTCTGAAAGTCCTTGTTTTTATAAGCCTCTAAGAAGATTTGGATTATTTGTTATCACAGCAAAACCAAACCTACCCTAACTAATACAGATGAGCATAAGATATAGAAAATTTCTAACGAGTGGCTTGAGATTGAAGCTTAAGGCTTGAATGATAGGTCAGGATGGAAATTATTGTTTAGAAAGTCATCAGTGAGGTGAGGATGAGAATGGAGAATGGACACATTTTCTAAGTAGGAAAGTAGAGTGGGAAGAGGAAAGAAGTGGGCCTAGGGAATCACTGCAAGTTAGTGTAAGAGAAGAGATGTACAGAGAGGAGGAAGGATTTGGCCAAGATGTGGCAGTCTGAGTTGGTATTAGAAAAGGGAGATAATAAGGCAGTTAAACAGGTCAGATGCCAAATTAGGAGGACAAAGAAAGCCATCAAATTTGCCATGACGGTGGTCAGTGTGAACCTCTGAGACAGCAGTTTTAGTGTAGTTGTGGGGAAGGAAGTCAAACTTCACAGGTTAGGGAGGGAGTCAGTGCAGAGGAAATGGAGGAAGCTGGTGGAGACCACTCCTTCCAAAAGTTTGGATCAGGCAGGGGAGAAGTGGGGCAGCAGTAACACTCAGAAATACTGCACACTGTGCTAACAGGGGACTCTTTGATCTTAGGGGGAAAGCACATGTTTTTCCACCCCATAAAATAAGTTTTAAATGTGGATAAAGATACTTATCCAGTACTGTCTAATATATCATAAACTTTGCTTGACACTAACAGCAATTAAAATAGTCTACTTAGATATTTTCTTCCTGGGAGCTTTGTAAACTCACTGTCATTGATATGTATTATCTTTGCTGCTGCTGCTAAGTCGCTTCAGTCGTGTCCGACTCTGTGCGACCCCATAGACGGCGGCCCACCAGGCTCCTCTGTCCCTGGAGTTCTCCAGGCAAGAATATTGGAGTGGGTTGCCATTTCCTTCTCCAACGCATGAAAGTGAACAGTGAAAGTGAAGTCGCTCAGTCATGTCTGACTCCTAGTGACCCCATGGACTGCAGCCTACCAGGTTCCTCTGTCCATGGGATTTTCCAGGCAAGAGTACTGGAGTGGGTTGCCATTGCCTTCTCCAATGTATTATCTTTAAGAACATGTTAATCCTTTCTATTTTATTTTCTTTATATTTATCTTCATGTGTCTGAAGTACAAAAAAATTGTAGGAAAGAGTACCAATATTTAGTTCCATTTGCTGTTTAACAAACCACATGTTGTGGGTTGAAATTGTGTCCCCGCAAAAGATTCCTAAGACTTGGTATCTGTGAACATCATCTTATTTTGGAAATAAGGTCACTGTAGATGTAATCAAGTTAAGATGAGGTCACACTGGATTAGGATAAACCCTAAATCCAATCACTGGGGTCCTTATGAGAAGAACCACAGAGCCACAGAGATACAAGGAGAGGAGGCCATGTGAAGACAGGAAGAGATTAGAGTTATGCCACCTCAAGCCAAGGAACACCATGGTCTGCCAGCAACCACCAGAAGCTAGAAGAGGCAAGGACGAATTCTTCCCTTGAGCCTTCAGAGGGAGCAGGTCCTGCTCACACATTGATTTTGGACCTCTGGCCCCCAGAACAGTGTGAGAATAAATTTTCTGTTGTTTTTAGGCCACCAGGCTTATGACAATTTTTTATGGCTGCCCTCGGAAACTAATAGAGTACCCCAGAGTTTAGTCACTTAAAACAACAGCAGTTTAGTATTTCTCATGATTCTGTGGGTTTGCCATTTGGGTTAGGCTCAGTGGGGCAGTTCTGTTGGTCCTGCTGTGGTCATTCATGTGGCTGCAGTTCCCTGATGGCAGGACTGAAGCTGGAGCATCTAAGATGGCCTTACTCACAAGTCCAGAGCCTTGCGGCGCGGCGGTGCTGGCTGTCCCTCTGCATGGGTCTCTTTTTCTTCAGTAGTCTGCTCCACATTCCTTACATAGTGAAGGGAACATTCTAAGAGGATGAAGGTGGAAGCTGCAAGACTCCTTGAAGCTTATTCTAGCATGCATACAACAACACTTAAACACCATATTCCTTGGTCAAAGCAAGTCAGAAGGCAGCCCACCTTCAAGGAACAGGGAAACAGACTCAGTCTCTTGATGGGAGGAGCTGCAAAATATTTTCCCACTTTAATCTATTACAATACCCAACAGAGAAGGTGATCATACCCCATTTCAAACCTCACATCTTTAAGCTGAAGGTCTTGTCATTCTCTGTTCAGATCATGATACCCATTTCACTGGCAGAGAAGCTGACAAAAGATTAAACTGACTCCTTCAAAGTTAACAATGAGTCATGCTTTGTGAGAGACTTTTTTGGCCCGTGGAAGACAACTGTATGTTTGGAAGAACTAACCACAGCCTTGCCTGGAGGCAGGTGAATAAACTTAATAACTTCTTGGGTTTTTCTTAAATCCCATAATTACACTGATGGAGCCCAGATTGCAGAGCTCTGTGGTCCAGAGATGAAGCAGCCGTGTGAGGATATCAGGGAAAAAAGGTGCTTGAAAATTGCTATATGGCCTTCAAAGGAATAGGATTTGGGGCTAAATTAAATGATGGGGAAAATGGCCAATGAGCTCTTTATCCTCAAGAGATACCAAATGGGCTTAGAAATTCAGTGATTGCTCTGGTCCTGTGTAAGTTCTGGGCTGGAAAGAATTAAAGGGAGTAGATGAAAGGGATGGGGCAAAGAGGCAGAGATACCAGCCTGTCAGGATGGTATGTGCTATGGCCTGTTTTAGGAGGTTCGCTCTTGTATAAGTTAGGATTGCTTTTTAGCTGCTACAACAAATAGACAACCCACTAAACAGTGGCTTAAATAAATGAGGGGTTTATTTATTTTTGTTGAATAAGGAGAATTCCAGTAGTTGGCAGTCTAGGCTTGGTGTGATAGCCCAAGATACCATTGGAGACATAGATTCCTTGTGTTTTTTTTTGTTCCATCATCTTTAATGTGTGACTCTCATTCTCATGGCCAGAATACGGCTCTTGAAACTGTCCACATTGAAAGAACACTGAAGACAGGAAGTGGGGAAAGGCCAATGAGGCATATCAGCTAACTGTTCTTTTTTCAGAAACTTTCACAGAAACTCAATGACATTTGCTATATACCTCCTCGATCATATCTGTGTTGCTTCTACTTACAAGTGAGTTTGGCAAATGTAAGTTTTTACTAGTTTAGCACATTGCCACCTCCAGCAAAACTAGGGTTGAGTTAGAAGGAAGGGGATAATGTCTATTGATGGGCAACTTAATGATCTCTGCCATTGCTCCCAACAATTGCTGTGGGTACATATTAGTGACAGAATTTCCATTGTGGTAACATGCAGCCTCCACCCCATTAATACTTGTAGTAGGTTCAAGCTCATCTAATTCCCTGACCTAATGAGGAGGGATATCCAGGCTTACAGGTCTAGTATTAAATTGGCTGTTGTAACAAGTAACCCTAAGATCTCAGTGGGTTAACCCAGCAGAGTCTTACTTCATGTTCATGTCATCATCTGATACAGGTCAGCTGGCTCTCCTCCAAGCAGTGACTCAGGGACCCAGGCTGCTTCCACCTTATGGCTCTGTCATCTTGGGACTTTCAGATTTTTCTGGTATCATCAGCTGTTGGCCAGGAAGAAGAAAGCGTGAAAGATTGTGCCTCCAGTTCTTTAATACCTCAACTCCATATTACTTCCTCTTACATCCCATTGATGAGGACTACTTACAAGTCCACTGACGTGCAGAGAGGACTGAGGAATATAGTTCTTGTCTGGCAGCCACTTAACAGCGACAGGTCTTCACTGTCAAAGGAGACATGCTCTTTGGGGGTCAGCTAGACATCTCTGCCACAGGGTCCCAGTCACAAAGGAGGAGCCATTACCAAATTGTCAAGAAACATATGTCTAGGCTTCTTTGCTGTGCACTGTGCAGTTGGTGGATAGCTAAGAGCCCTGTGGCCACAGTCACAGCAGTATGGATGTGGAAGTTGTAAGGGAGGCAAACTCCAAAAGCATATGCTGAAACGCCTGAAATTCCATAAGAAGGCAATAGGAATGCAAGGTACAATTATCCTGTGAGGCAGGTAGCTGATAGTTAAAATACAAAATTAAAATCTAATTGCATTCAAGGCCACCAGAAATGTCATATGCAACTGAACACATTTTGGAAACTCTGAAGATTGATAAGGAGTCAAGTTGCTCAGCCTGTTGTTTTTGTTTTCTTTCCTGAGAACAATCAGATTTAAAACATTTTAGGAAAAACCACAGGATGAAGATATTTTTTTAAAGCTTTTGAGTGACATGGTTAGAGTGAATATTTCATATGAGAGGAAACAAGATGTTTTGGATGTTAGAGAAAGAGGCATTATAAAACATTGCACTCCCACTGAGGAGTAAGGATACCATAGTCCAGCCTCCCCTCTGTGACAGGAGAACTTACTTTGATGAGAAACTGAGTCACCTTATTTTTTGTGACTGCTTCCCTTTGAGTTGGTTGAGTTCTCTTATTTACTTGCCTTTTAACGTTTTAGTAATCTGTGAAATCAGTCTTCCTTATTCATGCTAACAGTGTACTACTAATAAACAACCCACAACGCTCGCACTGCAGAGAGAAAACAGGTTAAACCTTGAAGTAGGGATTTGAGGAGGCGAACAAGTCTGAGTCCTGTCCCAACTCTCAGCAGGAGCATCTTCCAAAAGTTCTTTAACTTCCCCGAGTCTTTGTTTTCTCATCTGTAAGATAGAAATATTAATAATACCAGTATCAGTAGGGTCAAAAGAAGTTATATCTCTAAAACTGCTCCGTAAATTAAAGACCATTGCACACTTATTAATGAAATATCTGTAAAATGGGAATAAGTGCTATGTTTCTGTGATTAGTCAATGAGGTGACATATGTCACAGACCTGACACAGGGTCTCACACTCGGTCACATAGGGTCTTAGAAAAGAAAACTAAAAGCAAATATGGACAAAGTAAAATACCCTGGAAATGAGAGATGGAGAAATGTTAAAAACAGGCACAACAATGTAAGGAAAGGTTTAAACTCCTTTGCAAAGCTAGTGCCCCTAAAGCATTCATGCATATATATGTACTTTTCCCCAAAAGAACTTTTATAGAAAATGGGCACAGATATAAAAGAACACAGAGAAAATGTGAGAGACACACAGAGAAAACACAGCACATATGAACAACAAAAATGTATATATGAGACAGGAAAAAAAAGTAAATGTTGAAAAAGTAGAACCATTCAGAAGAAATGATTCATCCTGAAGAACAGCAATTATAGTTAGAGATTGGTGACCCATAAACATGTTTCCTATACTTTTCTAAAATGAAAAATGGCTTTTTATTACAAAAGCTATATATGTGAATTACAGGAAAAGCAGTTCACATAAGCAAAAAAATTTTTAATGAAAATTATTTCTAGTTTTTTAACCTGTAATCACATTTAATCACTTTATCTATATAGTTTTTATACATATACACATACATGCATATTTTCTATAAAATTAGAGGCATGCTTATATACTGATTTTTATTTAGAACTATATAATAAGCAATTTTTCATATCACTGAGTATTTTTACAGTACACTTCTGAATGAATGCATAACATTCCATTGTGAGCCTAGTTCATAATTTAACGAATTCTCTTTTGATCTATACTTATTTCCAGTTATTCACCACTAGAAATAGCACTTCACTAAGTACATTTATGCACTTAAATTTACTTACATTTTTAGTGATACCTTAGGATAATTGCTAGAGATGGAATCCCAGACTCAAACATATTCATTTGTATATATAAAACTCCATTTGGAAAGAGAGACACACACACAGAGAGAAATACATAAATACTTCCTTTATACTGTTGTCCTTCTTGGAGGTTTTGTGTGACATCTGTCTTTAAAAAGAAGTTTAAAAATATTTGAAAAAGATGGCATCCCTGAACTTTGCCTTAATTCTTGGGGAAAGTTATTGAAAGATGATTTCAAATAAGTATAAACAGGTAAGGTCAGTCTTTTATAAATGACATAAAAAATTTAAATTAACCTCAGAAGACTGAGCTGAAACCATTATTATGGTTCAGTCAGTAAAACTAAAGGTAAATTTGGACAAATACTGTTAATTCATTGCGTTTCCTTGTGGCCTCAGTTTTTAAAAATAAATGCTTTTCTGCATAATCCTGGTCCTATTAAAGGCTATCTTCGTAAATTTACCAACATTTCCAGCTATAACCAGGAATAAATAAAGTATCCCTTTTAAGTCAGTGAAATGTGTATTTTATTGAAGAGTAAAAACTATACAGAAATGTAAGATCACCTAGAAAAACTATTAATTTGTTACATACAAATTCTTATTGCCAGTTATGTATTATTTACATTTACCTGATATTTAATTTTCTATTTTATGTCCTTCAGTTCACTTCAGTTCAGTTGCTCAGCCATGACTGACTGTTTTCAACCCCATGGACTGCAGCACACCAGGCTTCACTGTCCATCACCAACTCCTGGAGCTTACTCAAACTTATATCCATCAAGTCAGTGATGCCATCCAACTATCTCATCCTCTGTTGTCCCCTTCTCCTGCCTTCAATCTTTCCCAGCATCAGGGTCTTTTCCAATGAGTCAGTTCTTCTCATCAGGTGACCAAAGTTTTGGAGTTTCAGCTTCAGCATCAATCCTTCCAATGAATATTCAGGACTGATTTCCTTTAGGATGGACTGGTTGGATCTCCTTGCAGTCCAAGGGACTCTCAAGAGTCTTCTCCAACACCACAGTTCAAAAGCATCANTCCAGTGGATGTTGGCAATTTGATCTCTGGTTCCTCTGCCTTTTCTAAAACCAGCTTGAACATCTGGAAGTTCATGGTTCACGTACTCTTGAAGCCTGGCTTGGAGAATTTTGAGTATTACTTTGCTGGTATGTGAAATGAGTGCAATTGTGTGGTAGTTTGAACATTCTTTGGCATTGACCTTCTTTGGGATGGAATGAAAACTGACCTTTTTTTGTCCTGTGGCCACTACTGAGTTTTCCAAATTTTCTGGCATATTTAGTACAGCACTTTAACAGCATCATCTTTTAGGATTTGAAATAGTTCAACTGGAATACTATCACCTCCACTTTGTTCATAGTGATGCATCGTAAGGCCCACTTCACATTCCAGGATGTCTGGCTCTGGGTGAGTGATCACACCATTGTGGTTATCTGGGTCATGAACATCTTTTTTGTATAGTTTGTATAGAAGATCTTTTTTGTATATCTCCTTAGTAATTCACAAGTAACCAATTTATTCATTCATCTATCCATTCATGTGACAAATATTTTTTGAGCAGTTACTATGTGCCAGGGACATAGTGCATAGTAACCTGATGCAGAGTCAGCTCTTTGCATCTGGCGGCCAAAGTATTGGAGCTTCAGCTTCATCATCAGTCATGCTAATGAATATTCAGGATTGATTTCCTTTAAGATTGACTGGTTTGATCTCCTTGCCGTCCAAGGGACTCTCAAGAGTCTTCTCCAGCTCAGGTATTTGATAAATGTTCATTTCTCTTTCCTCTTCTCTTTTAGAAAAGGGAAAGTGGTTTGATGTTAAAAATTGCATTCTATTTTGAGATTAGGAAATAAGCACATTATTGATTCCATATTAAAGGGTAGGTACATTTTTAACAATTGTTTTGTTTTCTGAGCAAACTTAAATAGCAAATGCTCCTCCTCCACAGAGGAGGGTAGCCTTAGTCTTCATACCAAGTAGTCCTGGTAATTTAGGTTTTATTTTGCCAGAAGAAAGCTGTCTTGAGGGGCTGCACACTCCACTGGGCCTTAGAAGACTCATACATTTCATCTTTTTGGTTCTCAGTTTCTTCAGAACAGAGTTGTGATAGATGATTTCTATAATCCCTTTCAGAGTTAACATCACTTTAAAAATGTTTATTTATTTATTTGGCTGCTACGGGTCTTAGTTTGGCACTCAGAATCTTTGATCTTCATTGGGGCATGCAGATTCTTTTAGTTAGAGCATGTGGGATCCTTCAGCCTTGGCATGTGGGACCCAGCTCCCTGACCAGGGATCGAACCCCGGCCCCTGCACTGGGAGCAGAGTCCCAGCCACTGGACCACTAGTGAAGTCCTTGTTTTAGTTTTTTAAATAAATGCTTGCCATACTAAATCCACTCAAATGGATGAATGCCAGGTTCCAGAACAAATTTGAGACCCATGCCTAAAAAAAATGATAGCAACTTAACTATGATTTTTGTTTTTTGAAATTTTGTTTTACTGTGAAGTAGACAGATCAACTGTATAATTTGTTTTCATTGCCAGAGGAAGACTGTCCACTGGTAACTGAGAAATCAGTGGTATATTTCCTGTCACATTAGAAGGAAAGAGATAGACACAATATGATTAATGACCACTGTTTTAAAAAATGAATTCTTGCATTTTTTGAATATTTTTTTACCATGTCCTTCACATGTGTTACTTGTATAATTCTCATAACAGCCTAAAAGGTTAAAGATGTTTTTATTATCCCTAGGATGTAGATTTGGAAATTGAGGCTGAGTGAGGTTATACAGTTTACCCAAGAATGTAAGTGGTAAGCTGTTGTAGAAACAGGTCTAGCTGAAACCAAAACCACGTTCTTAACCACTTGCTGCTTGCTACTGCCAACTGTTGCTGCCAGCCAACCAGCTTTCTTGCTGAAATAAGTTTTCATCATGGCCTTGCCATGGAATGTGTCACGATTGTTCTTTCCATATGCCATGATGTTTCATTTCGCCTCAGACGGGTCAAAGGATTAACTTTCAAGAGGGATGGACTGTGTCCACTCTAAACAGAACTAGAGGTGTCTTTACAGCATCTGCAGATTCTGTGCTGGTGTCTCTTCATCACAGCTTGAATGTGGTCTTATGAGTTTGTTTTTATCTTTCTATCTTTCCTGTAGAGTAGGCCAAAACAACTTGATTTTTCTCTCAATTTGGCTCTGAACACAGATGCATTTCAAACTAAAGATTCTTTTTTTTTCCTTTTGACCTCTTCCACATTATCAAAACTAGATACAATCCATTAAAAGTGGCTGCCCAGCCTCAAGGGCTTAACTAGCTCAGTGGCATAATGCATGATATTCGATTTTCAAATGGAAGAGAGAATGTTTGGGATGTTGGGAGGTGTTGGGAGACCTCTCTCTGTCTTGGTGTGACATATAGAAAGGGATGGAGTTATTTCATTTATCTCATTGCCCAAATCCAGATGACTCTGACAGCAAAAGTGTTTGCCATATTGCCCTCTAGAAAGGGTCCCCTTTCTCTCCACAATTCTGTCATCCATCCTCAGAGATGATCTGAATTATCTGCTACTCCAGAGTCTTAACTTGGTCTTGAATATTAGCTTCCAAAGTTTTTTGACCACTATCCACAGAAAGAAATGCTCAGTACATCCCAATCTCCCCTTTTCATACACACAGAGCACTTTATTCTCCTTTCCAGCACGTATCACAGTTTGTAATCCTAAATTTGGGGATTGCTTATTTCATGTCTCCTGCCGCCCCACCTGCTCCTCGTGGACTGGAGTCTTCAGGAGGGTAAGTTTTGTTAACCTTCCAATGTTCAGAGCTTAGCGTGCATGAGTGCGTGCTAGGTCGCTTTAGTCGTGTCCAGCTCTTTGTGACCCTGTGGACTGTACCCTCCAGCCTCCTCTGTCCGTGGGATTCTCCAGGCAAGAATACTGGAGTGGGTTAC